TAAAAAATCCTACTCCATTTTTCATATATGGTGTCTCCACTAGTGGGCATGATTGTTGTCTCGTAAATTTGCCCTTGCAAAACTAGATATACAACTTGTAAAGGTATAACCTAAAGCTGTGCCATCCTTCTCTTTTACTCCATGTGAGATATTTTGAGACGGCACCATCCTTATTTTTATTCTTATAACGACAACTCTTGTGCTATAGTTTTATTCTTGTTTATACAAGTCAATCTAATTTGACTTCACTTTTTACAAGAAAGAAAGCTTTGATATATATGAATTATATCCGGGGACGCACATTTTTTTATATACATTTTGACACATTTTGACACATTTTTTTATGATTTTTATGTTGTAACTGTAAACATAAAAGGTCAAGCGACAAATGAAACAAGAATATAGGTACAAAATAAATTTTGTACTAATGAAAGTTTAGGGTTATAATCTTCGATGCAAAGTCTGAATCCTCTTATTCGACATTCGGGCTTGTAGAATGTATTTGTAGAGATGTTGATCTCAAAGTGACTTGTTCTCGAACCAACGAATGCCACAAGGATTTGTCTTGTGGCAATAGAGGAACCAGCACGTGTAGTGGTGTTTAATGGTTCTTCACGGGTATGGCGAAGAATACAAAGAGCTTTTTGAGTCTTCTAAACCAATGGATGCCACAAGAGTTTGGCTTATGGCGGTGAGGAATGGGCGTGTGTAACGGTGCTAGATGGCTCTTTTCGAGTGTCACGAAGAATGCAAAGAACTTTATGAGTCTTTTAAGTGTGTAGAGTGTTTGAGCTTCTAGGAGATGTGTGCATGTCTCTGTAGCCTCAACTTGCTTCTTTTTTTTTTTTTTGTTCCTTCTCCCTCTTATGAGTTAGTGCCTAGTATTTACAAGCAAAAAATTGGGCATGGTTTGGAAGACCCAGTGTCAATCCCGTAATTGGTCCGATCATATTATGATTTAATTCACCTTAGAATAATTGATTTAATTTTGTCATAAATTGAATCACAATTTTTGTTTTAGGAAACAAAACCCTAGTTGATATAATTTGATTAGATTAGGGTTATTTTTCCTCCTTTTGTACTTGATTTGATTTGTATGACAAATGTCTCGTATGTTGACATGTGTCACTATTTGATGATTTTTCCGGCTTTGATAAGTTACATGTCATGTGTACAATATGGCAGGACGCATGATATGTGCCATGTAAGCCGTTTGTGAGTCAAAAAATTAATTTGTTGGCAAACATTTATTTCACTGAAATTTAATTTGTTGGCAAACATTTTTGTAAAGATTTCATTTCATCATTCAGATGTCATCCTGAATATGTAATACAGAGAAATACTAAAATTACTATCATTTAGTCCAACGATCATATATTTTTGAATTTAGGTATACTTTTGTTAGAATTTATTTTTTAGAAAATACTTAAAAATTAGACGCTTTGATCGTCAAAGTACAATATAGAGTGAACCCCTAAAAATGTGTCAAAATATATATTCCTCAATCCTACCTCTATATACACTGAATAGAAAATTGATTACATAATAAGGCCTCATAAACAAAAAAAATTAAAAATTAAAAAAAATTAAAAAAAAAAAAATCATATGGCCAACCAACCAAACAAAAAGAAATGATCAACATATATATCGTTAAAATACGACATGTTGAACACTTTCCAAGAGGCTTCCCAAATCTACCAATACAACATGTTGAACACTTTCCAAGAGGTTTCCCAAATCTACCAACCAAACAAAAAGAAAAATCCTAATGCCTCACAAACCCAAAAATTGAACAAACTATTCCTTGCCATTACTGTCCATAACAAAAATTGGCAGACGAATAATTTTACTGTTATAAGCTTTACTATTGCAAAGTTCCATGCTTTATATGCACGCAAAAATCTAGTCCATATATATACACGAAAATTATAAATAATCCGCTTAAAATTGAACTGCAACATATAGCGCCTACAAGTTAGCTAGAACAAAAAAAAAAATGACTCAACAAGAGAAGATTGAGAACTTATTAATTTCATCCATGAGAATCAATTATTGTTTAGAGAGTGATTGGCTGGAGTAATATATATACCAAACTATAGGACTTGGTACATTGCCAATATTACAAGATGACTGCTTGTATTCGGCTCACATTAATATACTAATCATATTATAGACTCCTTCTCTTACTACAAGAAAAGTTAACAATAATCACTAATGTTAGTTGGACAAAATGAGATTGATAAAGCCTTATCAGTGGCTAAGGGGTGGATGTTGTTTTTTCCACCTCATTAGCTACTTATAGGTCTTTACCAATCTCATAATTCTATGCAACTAATGTTAGTAATTATTGTTAAAGTTTTTGGTTGTCTTAGACATGTGGATAGGTACTTGTTAAAGTTTTTGGTTGTCTTAGACATGTGGATAGGCAGTCGAACTGTAGTTAAATAACATTATTCTTTTTAATGTCCCAAATATATATCAACCAAGTGCTGACCAAAATACTATAGATTGGTAGTTATGTAAAAACAAATAAAAACAAAAAAAACAAAATGACTACTTATATTTCTACACGAGGACCCCTAGGTCCAAGAATTAGAATAATTCGTATGGTCCAGAGTGTGCCATGGCACACAGGGGACCAGGCAGAGCCCTATATATTAATTTGCCTATAATTTCATATGTGGAACCAAGTCACCTCAGCTTTATAATTTCTTGTAGTATTTTGCAAGTTAAGATCACGCCAGTTGATCAATTTGAAGAGTATAATGAGGTGGATACATGATGTGGATCAGCCGGAAGTTCCCTCTACGGAGCCAAGGGTGGTTGATCATCACTTTAGGCCGGATCACCGTAAGAAGGCCAGAATCCCCTACACAGAGGAGCAGATAAGGATGGTTTCAAAAGCTTCGACAAGAACGGAGACGGCCAACTTTCCAAGGCTGAGCTCGAGGCAGCTTTCGCGAAACTCGGTGCGACATGGACCAGCGTTAGAGCTTGGTTAAGTCTTTGGCATGCAGATGACAACGGCGACGACTTCATTTCTCTAGACAACGAGCTGGACAAGCTTGTCGACTATGCCCTAAAACTTGGGTATACCCTTTAGTTAAAGTGGCGTAATCAGTTTTTTCACTTACGTGCCTGCTATATTACATCTAACTCGTCGTGTCTGGTATTTCTATATATATTTCTGTATGCGTGTGTATAGTATAACCAATGAAGGAGGCTGACTCCTCGTTGAACAGGGTAAATGTATTTGATCCCTACGTATATATATTAATGAAGCCAGAGCAAAGTAAAGAAATAATTTTTTTGCTTTACTAGGTACAGACGTCTATATTTCCGCAATATATTCATGCATGTATATATATCATGTATGTACACAAACTAACACATACATAGGTAGGCCGCATGACAAATTTCATCATCTATAGATTGTTAGAATAAAATTCTCATCTCCGGATTCTCCTCCTTAAATAGAGTATTTCCTTGAATGTCAAGTAATTTACAGTTGTAATCATTTTAGATTTCAATTACTATTGGGTCATAGGGTTTGATAGTTCACTAAAAGTAATTCTAGATATAGTAAATATTGTACACAAAATTAAATCAAGAAGTCATATTTTTACAGATGTACAAAGGATGGTAACATGAGCGAAGCAACTTGACATGCATCCTGCGCATCCAGAATATGAATTGCTCGATTAGGTAGCTAGGAAAAATACACAGATCTAAAATTTAAAACCAAATGAAAGTTAAATTAAAAGAAAAAAAGGAATTCCCACTAAAATCTTTTTATAAAGTTTAATTTGGATAATACTTCATGGAATGCACATATTCCACACCTTACCCCCCCCAAAAAAAAAAAAAACGTCTATTTACCATATGAAAATCATTCGAATCGGAAATTGTTTAGTCATCCAAATGTATAGAACAAATCGACAGTATGAATATCAAGTAACATACTCATGATGAACCGTTCATTTATTTGATACATTTGAGTGACTAAACGATATCTGATTCGAATAAGTTATTTTATTTTATTTTATTTTATTTTATTTTATTTTATAGGGATGATCTTCAAATCAAGGCTAAGAAGTTGAACGGTTACGATTATAAAGTTTATAAAGTGAAATTACGTTATCCGTAAAAGGTGGAATATATGCATTTCCCGATGGGGAAACACAAGTATTATCATAAATGAAGGATAATGCAAAGTTTGCATTCCCCTCTTGAGGGATGAGCTCATCCCTAAGCCCAAATAATGTATCTTTACTGTAACTTTTTCGTAATCGAAACTGTTCAATATCTTACTCTTCACTTGAAAGTCATCCCTATTGAAACTGTTCAATATCTTTACTGTAACTTTTTCGTAATCGAAACTGTTCAATATCTTTACTGTAACTTTTTCGTAATCGAAATTGTTCAATATCTTACTGTAACAACACTTCATTTATATATCTTTTCCCACGCTGAGTTTTAACCACTAGAGTGCCTTTTCCAATTGCTTGTACAAGATCTCTGGTGCCCATTTTAACTTTACAAGTTATAGATATGTCAATGTTTATTAACACAGACTCCTGAGATGTCATGTAGTTGCTGCAGGCAATGTCCACAAACCATACACTTCTATCTTGCATAATTGAAGAGTGACAAGCATAGAACATGGTTCCTGTGGTTACTTCTTCTTCCTTTGCACAGTTAGCTACTTGCTTATGACTATCATAGTCATTTGCAATATGACCAAACCGGTTGCATTTTCCACACTTGGCTTTTCCTTTGTATTTGCACACACCAAAATGATATTTCTGACAAACTTGACACTGTGGTTTCACACCACATGGATTACTACTCCCTTGCTTGTTCTGTGAATTGAACCTATTGTTCCAATTTTCTCCAGAACTGTTGTTCCAGCTTGAGCCATTATTGTTGTTCAAGTTTCCACTTTAAGACCAATTTGATCCATTTTTGTATTGTCCCTGCCACTTTTGATTTGGCTTACTCTATGAACCTTTGTAGGTACCAGTGGCTTGGTTATTGCCAACTCTGAGGCTACTAAAGGCTCTCTCAGTTTCTATCAATTTATCCCTTTCATCATGCAAGTCTTCCCTTTTATCATAGACTTTGATGGATGCAATGACTTCTTCAACTTTAATAGTATCCAGATGTCGAGTTTCCTTAATGATAGACATAATGGACTTATACCTTCTACTTAGACTGATCAATAGTTTTTGCACAATCCTTTTTTCAAACACATCTTCACCAAGTGATTTCAAATTATTCACAATTCCAAAAAACCTAGCCAAATAGTCATCTAGGTTTTCACCATCTGTCATTCTCATATACTCAAAATCTGCCCTAACTGCTTGAAGTTTTACAGCTCTTACATTTTTATCTCCTCTGAACTCTTTTCTCAGAATATCCCAAGCCCTTTTTGCAATCTTTTCGTTTCTAATGTGAGGGAAGAGCTCATCAGTTATCGCTCCTTGAATGACACTCAGCACCTTGGTGTTTTTGATTTTGTCTTCTCTGGAGATGGTGGGTGCTTCCACTGAAACTTGTTCAGCCTCACTTTCTTCATCTCCAGAGCCTTCTTCCTCCTCAAGAATCGGTTGCGGTTGTACTTTGATCTCTACTACATCCCATAGATCATGTGCTAGGAGGATAGTCTCAATTTTTATAGCCCAAAAATTGTAGTTTGCACTATCAAACTGTGGAGTTCGTAAATCTCCACTTGAAAAACCTAATCCGACCATTTTCTTAGTCAATATCAGTGAACCAACCAATAAAGGAACCACCTTTATCCCTTCTAGGAATTTTTCAGAAAGAACCTCTCTCACAATTTACGCCCTTTCTGGAATCAGACCTAAAGCTCTGATACCATGTTGAAATGGTATCAAACTTTATGTTTTACATTGATTAACAAACAAAGATTGAAACTTTAAACCAGAAAATCTATGCAGAGAAGGAAGAACACTAAGAAAATGAGAATGTTCAGTATTTTTTCTATGTGAAAAACTCATAGAATACAAGCCTATATTCTTCTAATTAGTCAAATGCTCAGATCCTATTTTCAGGGATCAAGGACTCATCTCCAGCCATTCAGGTCATCGGAGGCTACGATCCTTCCACTTGAAGGAAGATCGAATAACACAGTACATCCCAAACAGATAAGAATAACAGTTGTGTAGGTTTCTAAAATAGGAAATAAAACTAGCTGTTACAACTTTAAAGCTAACGGCTATTTCTAAAAAAGGCAAGTTCTTTATCTCTTCGAATTCTTCATTCTCTTCACTTTCAATCTGCATGATTGTCATCTGCAGGTTGATTTAAGCTTAGTATGCAGCTTAATTCTCAACAAAGCGTCGATTGCATCCTTGAACACTTCCACTGCCAGCACTGACAGATCTTCCCTTCTTCATTTATTTTTGGACGTTGAACTTGCACTCAACATTTTTAACATAAATGGAATACTCAACTTTTCTCCGCCTACTAGTTTCCTATACACAAAAAGACACACAAACAAGGGCAAGTAAAACAAGTGTAGTTCGTAAAAAAATTCGATATTATCTCACAAACAACTTCAGCCACCTAAATAAAGATGAATATGCCAAGTCATAACAACTTATGGTTATTAGTTTGTTATAGGTGTGTTGTAAAGTATTATGTTTTGGTTAGTTAGGGAGAGAATAGTCAAAGGCTATACATTAATGGTTGTATTCTTCATTTGTTAATTAATGAGAAGCATATTTTTCTTACTTTCTAAGAAAAGCTTCTAGAGAAAGTCTTGAGTTTCTATATGGTATCATTCGCCTCCTACCTTCCGGCATTCACGATCCTCATCGTCTTCGTTACACATCTTTGATTTCTTAATTATCTTGAAGAATTTTCATCTCTGTTGCCATGGCTTCTCCTTCTGATTCATCATCTCAACATGAATCGCTTCAACATCCAGGCCCCAATTCCTCTTCTCAAAACCTTAATTTACATCTCTTATGATTCAGAACATTGGAAGTATGGCCAATCAAGCTTAAACACTCCAACTACCTTCTATGGCGTGCACTGTTTGCACCAATTCTTCGTCGCTATAAGCTTATTGGAATTGTTGATGGAACTGAGGTGTGTCCACCTCCCTTTCTCCCAAATCACTTTATAAACCTTACATTTAACCTCTGGTATGAGAAAGATCAAATCTTCTGATCTGGTTGAATTCTACACTTTCTGAATATGTAATTCTCTTTACTGTTAGTGTATCTTCCTCTCGCGATCTCTGGATCATGCTTGAGCAACGTTTTGGTGGTGTTTCTGATGATCATATTCATCAACTTCGATCTCGTCTCCAAGCCATATAGAAAAGGCTCTCAATCCATGTCTGAATATCTGCAATAGTTGAAAGAGATCTCTGAGTCTCTCTCTACAACTGGAGCACCGATCTCCGATTGTGATTTAATGGCGGCAACACTAGCTGGTTCACCAAATGAGTTCGAATCTTTCATTGATTCACTCATGCTTCGCCTGCCTTCCAATTCTTTGGATGAATTACATAGCATTCTTCTCACAAAAGAACTCTCCATGTCTCGTCACAAGAATATCTCATCCACTACTGAACCGTTTTAGGTGTTCCCAGTGCAATCACAAACACCTCTGCTTCCCACATCACCGCCTTAAGCACTTGCCACTCAGAATCAATTTTCACATCAAAATTCTTCTCGATTTCACTCTAATCATGGACGAAAGAGCAATTGAGGACATCAGTTCACCAATAACAATCATGGTTCTCGGGGTAATTTTCATGGAAATTCTTCAAACTGAGGTTAGAATCAAGGGTTTCGTGGTTCTAATTTCATTGGAAATCATATCATCTGTCATATTTGTGGTTCCACCAGTCATGAAGCCATTGATTGCTTTGATTGCATGAATCCTGACTTTTCGGGAAGAATTCCACCTGCAAAGTTCACAGCCATGTGTGCACATTACAGCTCCAACCCATCCCCTTCTTGTCTCATTAACTTTGGTGTTATTTGTCATATCACAAATGACATTGCCAATGTCATTTCACCTACACCATACACTGGAGAGGACAAAGTCTACATTGGTGATGGTAAAGGTCTGTCCATACAACATATTGGTTTTTCTTCATTGCATACCTCTAATGCTGCCTTTAAATTGTGCAATGTTCTTCATGTTCCAAAAATGAAGCATAATCTGTTGTCTACTTATCAGTTTGTAAAGGATAACTAATATGCATTGACTCTTGATTCTGATGGATCCAGTGTAAAGGATTGTTCTATAGGGAAGACATTTTTGCAGGGTCTAGTTAAGGATGATTTTTATCCTTTGCAAAGCTCTTCTTCCCCTGGTTTATCCTCATCCAACTATTCTCATGCTCTAGTGAGTGTTCAAGCTCCTATCTGGCTCTGGCACAGTCAACTAGGCCATCCCTCTTCTTCTATATTTCATAGACTATTATCTATTAATAAACTTGCAGTCAAAGGAAGATCAACTGTGGATTTCTTTTGCTCTGAGTGTACTATAGCAAAGAATCACAAGTTACCATTTGGTTCTTCCACGTCATCAACTACCCATAGCTTAGAATTGTTACATTGTGATTTATGGGGTCCTGTTCCTGTAACTTTAGTGAGTGGATTAAAGTACTATCTTTTCATAGTTGATGATTTCAGCAAGTATAGTTGGATGTTTCCTTTAAGGCTCAAGTCTTAAGTGTAGTCTACTTTTGTACTTTTCAAAAACTATGTAGAAAACACAATTGGAAATACAATCAAAACTGTACGTTCTGATTCAAAGGGTGAGTTTACAAGTCTCTCTTTGAAATCATATCTTCAAACTCATGGCATTCTTCATCAATTAAGTTGTCTACACACACCAGAACAAAAAGGTTGTGTAGAAAGGAAACATCGACATCTAGTTGAGACAACTAGAACTTTATTGGTTCAATCTCATGTTCGTTACCAATACTGGGTTGAAGCCTTCACTACTGCACTATATCTCATTAACAGATTGCCAATCTCTGGGATTTCACAATCACCTTGGGAGTTATTATTTCATACAGTTCCAGATTACTCAAGGCTCAAAGTCTTTGATTGTTTGTGCTTTCCATAGTTAAAACCTTATGTGTCCTCCAAACTTGATAGGAAAAGTAAAAGATGTATTTTCTTGGGATATAGCCTACAACATAAAGGTTATAGATGTCTGGATGCATAAACACAAAGGGTTTATATTTCAAGACATGTAGTCTTTGATGAGACTACATTTCCATCACCTGTGTCTTCTGTTTCTTCCCCTACATCTCAGCCTAATGATTTGGAGTTTTCTCTACCTCATGCATTTCATCTAATGCTCCATCTTGTGCTTCAACTCCTCCTCCAATTTGTATTGAACCTACCTCCACTGCTTCAATTGTGCCAAGTGACACCACAGAATTTAATCATTTTTCTGTGCAACAAGTTCCACATATACAAGAAGTTCAAAATGTACACCCCATGATGATAAGGTCTAAGAATGGCATTTATAAACCAAAGGCATTCAGTGCAACTAAACATCTTATTCCTTCTTCCATCGAAGTGATTCCTACAACATATTTGCAAGCTTCAAAATCTGCAAATTGGAGATTAACAATGCAAAATGAATTCAATGCTCTTCAGTCTACAGGTACTTAGACTCTTGTCCCTTCTACATTCTCTCATAATGTTGTTGGCTACAAATGGGTATTTAGAATTAAAAAGAACCTTGATGGCTCCATTGAAAGATACAAAGCCCGGCTTGTTGCCAAAGGCTTTCATCAGAAGGAAGGTTTATATTATAAAGAAACATTCAACCCTATAGCTAAACCTATCACCATCAGAATCTAATTAACATTTTTTGTGCAATTCAACCGGTTCTTTAATTAGTTAGATATTAGCAATGCTTTCCTTCATAGGGATTTAAAATAAGAAGTGTTCATGGTGCAGCCTTCTGGTTTCAAGATCCATCTCTTCCAAATCATGTGTGTAAGCTCAAGAAATCTTTGTATGGTCTTCAACAAGCCTTAGGGCCTGGTTTGATAAGTTGTTTCAGGATTTCAAATCTCTTGGTTTTACTCAATCATCGTTTGATGCCTCTCTGTTTGTTCTTAAAGTGCCAACCTTGGTCATTGTACTCCTTTATGTTGATGATATTATCATCAAAGGTCTCAACGCTTCTCTCTGCCAACAACTTATTCAATAGTTGAGTACCCTATTTCCAGTCAACGACTTAGGACCCTTACACTACTTTTTGGGCTTGGAAGTTCATAGAACCAAAGACAATTTTTTTATGCATCAAGGCAAATATTTACTTGATCTCTTACAAAAGACTAATATGGATGGAGCTAAACCCTGTTGTACACCCCTCAATTCTGCAAAGTTGGATCACGGTGGTGAATTGTTACCTAATCCCACTAAATATCGATCTCTAGTTGGTGGTCTACAATACCTCACTTGAACCAGACCTGATATTTCTTTTGCTATAAATCAGGTGTGAGAGTTTATGCATGCACTAACAATTACACATATGTAAGCAGCCAAGAGGATTTTAAGATTCCTCAAGGGCACTATATCTCAAGGTCTTCTATTCAAACAAAGTCTTTTACATCTTTTTGCCTCCTCGAATGCAGACTGGGCTAACTGCACATTTGATAGAAGATCCACTAAGGGTTTTTGTGCCTTTCTAGGTTCTAACTTGATTAGTTGGTGTGCAAAGAAACAAACTGTAGTGGCTC